AGCTGTTGTGCATTTGTTGATGTGGATGGATGGATATAAATCTTGTTATGACAGTAACTGCCTTAGGTCACTACGGGTGAGCCCAGCTGGTTTGGGCTGGTGCTAGTTACTTCTGTGTTATGAAATAAATGGACACTTGCAACTGCTCAAGCTCACTGTGTTTCCAATGATTTCTTTCTAAATTCTGGAATGCCAAACGATACAACAAAGTGGCGACAAGGATGGGATACCTGTGCTGCCTCCAGCAACACAAAGAGTAGAAGTCAATGTAAGAAAACAAACCTTTTTGCTGTTCTGGAAGGTGGGGATGAGAACTGACTGCTACACTGACAGTGCAAACTGAAACTACAGTCAGTGAAGCCCAGAGGCTTGGAGCCATGCTGAGGTGCTGGATCTCATCAGCATTTGGGGAGAGGAAGCAGCACAGTCCCAGCTGCGCTCCAGCAGTAGGAATTACAATATCTGCGGGTTCATCTTTAGGTGTGTGACCGAAAGGGGCCATGATTGGGACTCACTGGAGTGCAGGGTCAAAGTGAAACGCCTACCAGCAGGAAGCAAACAGATGCTATGCCCACGACATGCAGGTTCTACACAGAGCTGGATGATATACTTAAATGTGACCCCGAGCCAGGAGGAGGAAGTTGTGGCAGAGTGTGCTGAGAGGGAGAGGGACTCAAAGCCATAGGAGGACTCGGCCTCCACAGAGGTTTGCAGTCAGGAGCTGCTGTGTACCCTCGATGAGGCGAGCCACTCTCAGGCCTTGAGGCTGCGGACAATGTGCTGGGTAAGCGGGCTGGCTCTCAGGCAGAACTCAAGTGACTTGCTGAGAGCAGGAGTGTTACAGAAAGGAGGCTTGTTGGTTCTGTGTAGTGTCACTACCAGCAGAGGGTTGGTCAGATGGTGACTGAATCGTTGACGCAATCCCTTACGTCTCAGTAATCTGCCTCACAGACCTCGTAGAAAGTTTCATGCAGCTGCTGTGCCACCCGTCTCCTGAGATTCGCTGGCAAAGCAAACATAGTACTAGACCCCTGCAGGCTGAGATTCCTTTTCCACTGTGCTGCCAGTGGGGCAGGGGGACCACTGCTGAGCAAAGACAAACCACGCATGGCCCCGAACAGAACCCACAATTGAGTGAAAGTTCTTCCTTTGCTTCCCTGCTCACCCTAAGCAGCAAAATGTCCTCCAGGGTGAACATGGCCTGTGGAAATGAATGGCAGTGAAATAATGTTCACTCCCTGCCCCACAGTGCTGTCCCCAATTCACAGTTGCAAATGAAACCCCTTGCTTCCTGGCTCAGTTGAGAATCCCTGCCTGGCTGCACCAAGAAATTTTCCTGCAAGTCTAATGCAAAGGTTTCCCCTGCCCTTTCATCCCCCTGGCCAGTTGCACCGAGGGATACCCTCGTGCCGCTACAGCAAGGGTTTTCTTGGACCTTTCTCCTGCCCTGCTGCACCGAGGGTGTCCCCTGCTTCCCTAGTGGTGAACTCAACATTGTGCGGTTCCTGTATGTTTTGGGACAGTCAGGCAGTGGCAGTGCAAGTGCTTGAAAGGGATCAGGGCAGTGCTGTGTCTAGGGTTAACAATGGACCTTCTGTAACATGTTGCAGTTTTGGCCTGGATAGCGCCAGACTTGGAATGCCAGTCTCAGGAAGTTCTAACTCCCGCAGAGCATCTGAGGAGGACATGGAAGTGCCCAAGAAAGACTTGAGAGGAGTTTTTGCAAGATGTCCTGAGGCACACGGGCACTGAACACAACCAAAAGAGTGGTTGGACAGCGACAGGAGGGAGCATAAGGAGAGCAGCCCTCATTCGTGTGTCCTTGCGCCACACGGTGGGAGTGAGCTTAGCACACAGTTCTATGAAAAGTGGCTTTCCTCATCCAAAAGTTCTGCAGCCACTGCTTGTCATCCCAGGCTCGCGTGATGATGTGACCCCACCACTCAGAGAGCCCAAAAGCAACATTCTGCAGTGGTCAGTACTTCCGGGAATGCCACAAGAAATCTCATGTTGTATAAATGTTGCACAGATTCCTCAACAGCATTTTGCAGCTTCAAGAATAACTCAGCTGCCATTCATGACATGTCAGTGAGACCTGTCCGCATTTTCGTCAGCAGCTGCGAGTCTGTTCCTACAGATGGAGGCAGCAGTGTGTGCAGCACAGAAGCTATTGAGAGGGCGCCAAACACAGATGGACGCACAGCAGTTGCTGGGATGTGAATTGATGCACTGCAGGGCATTGGGACAGGACCCAGGATTCTGCATCCCCACAAACCTATGGCAGAAGGGAAGAGGTGCTCTGTGGGACAGCTACCCAGAATACACCGTTCCGAAAGGCACTGCAAGTACCATGAGTGTGGACACACTGGCAGCTGACAGTGTGGACTCCCAATAGCATTTTCACTGCTGTACTCCATGAGCAGTACTGTAACTACCAACACTTTCCATCTGCCAGTGTAGACAAGATCTTGTGGTTTCAGCTTTCAGAGATTTCAGCTCTCAATGAGGCAATCTACTAGTTGAGACTGATAAATGCAGGCTGGGCTGGGCTGTCTCTTCCAGGAAAACATTGTCCCAGAACAGGCTTAAGCATTTCAGATCTAAAGCGGTCACTTAAAAAAACCAAAAGACTCTCTGGAGTCCAATCAGCTCTGTCTTTAAACATTGGAGAGAGGCAGGGCAAATAGTATGTGTGATTCAGAGACAGGCCATCAAACAAAACACCTGTCCCCACCCTCTCTCCCCACTGGGAGCCAGCGTTTCAGTTGAGGGGGACACCACAATCAGGACAAGTCTGCCACCCTTTACTCAGAGAGTAAGGAGAACAACATTTTATTACTCCGGCTTTCAGTGATTTGTAACCCAACATCAGCCAAAGCTGATCACTTGGGCAACCTAGTGAGGTAACTAGCCAATAACTGGGAAGGGGGGAGGTCAGGGAAATTCAGAGTGGAGGGACAACCC